AAAAAAAAAAACACTGGCAGGGGAAAGGTCAGAGTCCAATGAGCTGCTGAGAAAATTCCAATTCCAGGAAGCAACTTTAAGTGTCTGAAGGAGAAAGTACTTGGCAGAGAAGTGTGCAGCTTTCTTGATTGATTGGTCTTCCTCAAAGGAAGCAGGAGGGAGTGTCTTCCTAATTGGTCCACTGCCCTTCACCGGGCCTGAGGGAGGTAAGGGGGTAAGGGAATGCCAGGAATGGCCAGCAGAGGGATGGGTCCTTTAAGCCAAAAAGACAAGGAGAACACACCCTGCATGGAAACAGGCGAGGCAGCGAATAACATAGCCCTTTGAATTTGTCAGCAATTAAAAAACTGCAAGAAGCCATCTTATAACCCTGCTTCTGGTGGAGTAGAATTGAGTGTAAGGTGCTGCAGTGTGGAGGCTGTCCTTTCACCTGGCTCCCCAGGTGGGGCCAAGGAGACAGCAGTTCTTCAGTGCCCTCAGGAGCTGGGGGCAGCTGTGTGCCCCAGTGTTGCTGTGGGAGTTCCCAGCAGAAGGGAAAGTGAGCCAGGCCTGGACTTGCTCTGTGCTCCAGCACCCTTCTCCCCTACCAAGCTAGGGAAGGGCTTTTAGGAGCTTCATGCAGCTTTGTGGATGGACATAAAAGGGAAGTCTTCAGCTCCTCACACAGACATAATCTTCTGCCCTTAAAAAAAAAAAAAGCAAGGCTCTTTGACCTTTGCTTTCATGATTCTGATACCTGAAAAAATTTATTAGGTGTTAAACAGAAGGACAACAAGGAACATAAGTTTCAGTGCTTCTAAAATGGGGTTTTACAGCCCTCTCAGGTCTATCTTCATGAGGGGTTGAGAAGCTGATGTTGAAAAAAACGTATTATTCTACTCCTTGGTCTCTTGTCTCTCTTGTCACCCTCTGCTTACTTTTACTGGCGATGGCAAACTGCAGGCGCAGAGCAGGCAGCCGAAAGGGAACCACCTGACACACACACACATGGGTTTGTAAATGCTCACTGCCACCGAATGTCACTAAAATCGCTCTTAAAAATTCAGGACTGGTCTTGAAAGAAAGGCCAAGTCAAATACATTTTGAAGACAGGGAAATATCCCTTAATCTTTTCTTAGTCCTTCATCCCACAGAAGACATTTGTCAAGGTTGGATGTAGAAACTGGGGCTTGTAAATCTACGTAACTTGTTCACAGCTCACACAGCTGAGGCTTACACTCCATTTCACATGACTGGCTGAAGAACCAGAAGGGAATTTAAGGGGCTGAGTTCATCCCCAGGCTGAGTGGGCAGAATCTGAAACAAACAGTACTGTCAATTACATCTTCCATTCTCCTCCTGGGTCAATGTGCTGTGACGCCCAGGCTGCCCGTGGGTGTGCAAACCTCATGGGAATGGTGGTCGTTTTCTAGCACAGAGGAGTAAGGACTGCCTTCCTGGAAACATCACCCAACTTGGGGATCTTACAACACAGTCAGGTTAGTTGGATGAAATGCTCCGTGGTACATCAGAGTCCCTGATCCGTTTTCAGACTTCACAATGACATGCCAAGCTTTTGTAGCTGTCAGTTCAAAAACTAGAGACTGGGTCGAATGGAAGTGTCCCAGTAATCTTTTGAGCAATGGACTGTTTTGGTTCAGGTTCTCCTAAATTGCCCTCTCGATAGCTTTTGTGGATATTGAGTAGAAAATTTTTTTTCCCCTAGCTAGTCTAAAAGGCTGTGATTAAGGATGAAAGCAAAGGAAACAAGATGACTAGACTCTATGGGTCTCATTTTTCTAAGTCGTTTACAATCTAAGTAGGGATTTTCCTGGGGTTTCTGTACTTAACCAAAATACTTGGGAGTTTTCTCCCCTAAAGGCTTCTGAGCTGTGATAAATTTCCAGTGTCTAAAACAAAAATTCTTCTTTGAGGCTAGGGTATATAGAAAGAATATATATTCTTTTAAAAAGCATGAAAATGTTTTAGTGTATTCAAATGTTATCTACTGACATGCATGTAGTAGGTAAATGCAGGAATGAAAGGAAGGGAAGGACAGATAGTTCATTTTTTTAATACAGATTTATAGTAAATGGGTTTAAGATGCTTATTTAGTGCTCCTGTCCTACCACTTGCAAAGATTTAATTGCAATATGAAGCTCAAATCTCAAGCTTTCAACAGAGCTTGCCTGAACAAAGTCCAGCACTTATAGTGCCCTCAGGGATCTGGGTGCCATCAGCTGGCAAGTCCCAGCGATGATCCAGCTCTTTCTGCTCTGTTTAGTGTGTTTCAAGGAGCTGGTGGAATGAAGGCGCCACTTTAGGGTCTTCACATTTAGCCTGCTTTGTTCCTGTACTTGTGTGGATGCCTCTGCTACTGGAAATATGGCTCATGCCATTGGTTGCCTCTGTAGATGCCCCAAATTCCAAATCCTGAGGGGGCAGGCAAGGGGTTCTTGCCTGCAGTGTGTGGCATGCTCTGGGCTTGTTTGGATTCTGTGTTTTCCTCTGGAGACAGAGCCCATGACCACTATCAGCTTCTCCACAACTTCTCCCTTAAATGGGAGAGGTGTCACAGGAACCACAAGAACTCCTCAGCCTACCTGGCAGCGAATGCCTTTGTGTCAGGTGTATCTGGACCACAGCAGCAGTCCTGGCCAACTCCAACTCAAGATGAACTTCTCCCAGGGCCTTTCTCCCTCTGCAGAGCCATCGGAGTACTCCCTATGCTCCAATGGTTCTTGATATCCATTGCATGCAGAAATTTTAAGTACATTACCTCATTTAATCCATAAAAACAACCCTTTAGTATTCAGTATTGTTATTCCCATTTTACACTTGAGGTAGTCAAGGCTCTGAAAGGAAGAGTAACTTGCCCAGAGTCACACAACTATTAAACAGAGACAGCGTGACCCCGAGGATTTTCTGTCAGGCCTGCCCACTGCCCAGGCAAGCCTGTGACTACTGCACGAGGCACAGAGCCACTGCACAGGACATGGTCTTTTCCTCTTCTCACTGCTAATGGAGACAGAAAAGGGTGCAGATTCAAGATTCAGTAGCCTGAGAGCCAGTCACTTCAGTGGTCCTCCTGAGGGCTCCAGAAATTAGGGACTGTGATGGGAAGAAAAGGTTTGTAGGCTACCACTTTCCACTATTAACTGATGTGGTCACTCAGATATGGTACTGGCTGCACCTCCAGACTCCAATGAGAGCACTTCAGTCCATCACCTCTTAAAGCAGCATGGGATGGTAGAACTGGCCTCAGGAAATCCCCAAGGCCCACATCTGAATTTATGCCCCCATCCTTGCCAAGTACCATACAAATTAGAGATAACTGCTCACATTACAATCACAATGGGAAGTTTTAAACAGCTAGCTTTTATGAGTACATTCAAGACATAAATGAGTTTCTAGAAAATGGATTCAGCTGCAACAACTCAGGGAATACAGTCCATCTGCAGGTCTGAGTTCTAACTGCAACTCTTCCATTAACTAGCCATGGGACCTCAGATAAGTCATCTCCCCTCTCTGAGCCTCCCTCTCCCTATCTGAGAGCTATGAAGGTGCTGTGTAGAGTAGGATGTGACGTAGAGACAGAAAATGACTTCTAGTCCTGGGTCTACCACAAAAAATCGGT